TGTTCAAAGGTTTAATACTCTAAGTGCATTATTGGGTCAGGACCAAGATGTTCAGGACCTTATGGGCTGAAGCCCAAGGAGAACAGTTATATGTGCTTCAGACTTCTTGGAGGAAGGAAGACATGGCCATCTATTTACTGGCTTTCCTGCCTTTTGGAAGCAGGGCCCTGCTGCATAAGTAAACTTTTAATAACTTTTAGCTTCAAAAATTTAAGACATGCTTTGTCTTGCACATACTTTCATGTACAATACTAGCTATTGTATATGGTAACATAAAATACTAGCTATTGTATATGGTAACATAATAAAATATTTTAGATTTCTTGTAGATCTTGTAAACCTACACAGAACATCTGATATTTCAGGATTTTGAACAGAAGATACTAAACCAGTCCTGGGCGGAAAAGTATTATTACTTTTTTTTTTTTTTTTTTTCCCCCCCTTTTAATCTATTGGGTTAATTTTTTTGAAGAACTTTTTTTTTGAGGTACAGTTAATGCTGTGTTTAAGAGTAGACATGTACCTTTCTTGACACATCTACAAATATTTAGTAACACTTTCCTATATTTTTTCATAACTGGCTGAAGGGTGGCTTGGTTTGGAGACATATTCCCTGAACAAACCTCAAAACAAGTTTCAAAAGTAGCCAAATATAACATTTTATTGTAATGTAATGTTCCTCTGAGAAATTTGCTGCTGTTGTCTTCAAAATCAAAAGGCAAATACCTTTTGATTGTTCATGTGAATTTCTGTGTAACGTGAGCCTAAACACCAAGCATTATGGATGAAAAAAGTTATTGCCATCACACATCAGAGGCCCTTTCCAAAGCGTTTGATTTTATGATTGAATTCCTTAGAGCTGTTGTGAAACTTTAACATCTTTTTTTCTTATGCTCTTCACATCTGTGAGTGATCTAATTTGCTTTATCCAGATTTCTAAGTTTATCGCTAGCTTTTGTAAAATGTTTGCATTTTACCTGGGAAAAAAGTTAATGTATAGTTTGTACTAGAGGATCAAACGAATGCAGAGAGACTAGTTCATATTCTAAATGTGTTGTCCTTTGTTGCATTTAATTAAAAATTAGCTTCATTTCAAGTTTTAAGTACATATATCAACATTTTTTACAGGTGGAACTGATATTCACTATAGATATCGGATGAGACACTTGTTCGTTTTGTTTTGTTTTTTAATGCTTTTATTATGATTAAACTTTCTGCAATAACTTTAAGATGCCAAGAAAAGGCTTGGTCCTAGACAAGGAAGAAGTTGGAATTAAGTTTAGGGCTGTCTTCTAAAAACCATTTTCCACATTGTAGAACCACTTTCTTTTGATTTGACAAACGCCATCATGTTTCTTTGTACCATGCCAAATACACCTAGCCTTTAGATCAGGGCTTTCTTTTCATTGCCAGGTGCTGCTGTTACTAGCAGTGAGTAGCAGCTGTGAGAACTGCCAGCTGAGTGCCAAGTTACTGCCTTAACATGACTTCTTGTGGAATTGAGGCAATTCTAATTTAATCCTCTCAAGGTAACATGCACTCCATGGGCAAAGATGCAAAAATGCAGGAGCAAGTGTAGTTCTTTCCTGGCCATTAATTTCTTGTTGCTCCTGCCATTGTTTGCATGTCACTTTTAAATGGCCTGTATGCAGTTGGCTGGTGTGCATATTTTGGGGAGCTCTTCCTGTATCTTGTAAGCTCTTGGGGAAATGGAAGCCTGTCTTTGAGATACTTATAGCCATAAACTTTTTTATTATTCTCCATTTTATTTTTATTTAGGATCTCTAGTAAGAGAAATACCCATTCTACTTATGGTGGCAGTGGGGAGCATACGATGACTTAGGTGTGATTTCCAAAGATAACATTTGAAACCTGCTAATGTGTATTTCAGGCTGTTATGTTATTACCTAGGTTTCTTTTAGTGAAGAAGAATACATTTTCAAAGACTTCTTCGAATTTGCATAGTTTGTGGGAGAAGTCACATCAATTTGTCCTATTCCTTATAACCTCGCTTATAATTTGATAGTCATTAGTGCAGTTGCTTGTTAGATGGCTTTATTCTGAGGAATAAAGTAATGTGTTCAAGAAAGGAATGCATCTTATGGTCTTTATTGCAGAGTCCTTGAAATGTTTCTTTCCCCTACCTGGCTCCTGAATTTCCAGCAATTTTGGAATGTGCAGTTACTGATACAGAAATCATATGGCTTGAGATGCGCATGGCTGTAATTATTCCTTTGAGTTTACTACCACCTATAAAAAGGTAAAAATCTTTGTTGCCAAGTCTGAAAGTAAGGTTAAGTCTGATCTTGTCTTAAAGCTGAAGCCATTTTAAGGTTTACTGTGAAAAATCGTTTTCTTAGACATTTATAACAGAAATATATATTATTTGGCATGAGAAAATATTTATTGTTTTTGAAATTGTTGGCTGGGGTGGCGAGAGTGTTCTGTTTTCTCAGGAAAAACATCTTGCTTTTTAACCTGAGGAATTGATAGTTTAATGAGTCCTATGAGCCATAACGGTGGTCTAATAGTCATTTTTTCAGGAATGTTGGAAAAGAGCAAAACTCTTTTTGATTTCTGTCCCAGAAAACTGACTGCTTTCTTGAGAACTTCATGAGTACTTCCAAGAACACAGTTGATGCATATTGTCCCGTGTGAAAGAAGTAACTGTGGATTACATAAACTGATAGGTCTGGACTGCCAAAGCGCAAATACCTTCCCTCATTCCTCGTGTCATCTGTCTACAGAACGTTCATTGGCTGGCAGCTCTAGAGGCTGGGTCTTGGCTCGCTTGGGCCCCAGAAACATGCTGTGTCTGCATTAATATTTCTATTTAAAAATACATTGCAAAATATTTTGGAGGGGAAGTTAAATATACTTGGTGTTTGGTTATGCGTGAATTATTTGAATTCAAACGTGTTTGTAGCTCATGGATGTTTTTAATAACTTAAAAAAAAATACTGAAACTCCTTATGAGAAGGCATAGGGATGTTTAGATGATAAGGATGTTCAGGTGTTTTGCATCTGAAATGCCAAACTATGTACTTAGTGATGTGAAATAGGAATGTATTTTTCTTAAAGACAGATCAGAAAACTTGTAGCAATTTCATTCTTCATATAAAATGCAATATTTATG